ATGTAAGACCACCCCCAACGTTTCCAGTTAAAATATAGAGTTTGGAATGTACACGCCGTATAAGACTACCCCTCTTCCAACACACACCAATTTTTTTAAAAAATTATCAGATTTGATTGCAATATGGTAATTTTCCTATTACTGTACCGCCTTCTCTATCTCTCAGATCTCGCACATGTGTGCCTGCGCCGCTTCCCTGCAGTCCTCAAGAGTGAGATCTGAGAGCCAGAGAAGGAGGTATGGTAATAGGATACAAGTGCGGGCCAGACAGGTTAAAAAGGTGTGTTTTTCTGGCCACATCACCACTCTATATCTTTTTTCCATACCCCGGATGTCCTGGATGTCTGCAGCTTGCTCCGCCCTTCACTTATACCTTCCTGGTGAGGCGCCCCCTCACCTTGTCATCAGAACTGCGTTAAGTCATTTCTTTCCACAAATCCTGGTGAGTGGATTTTCTTCTATCTTACTTGCACAGTGCTGCCCTTGCTGCTTGCATATGGCGGGGATGCGGCCACGGCCTTTTTTGAGCTTCCCCCACCATATGTGGCAACCACAGATTCTCCAGTCTGGCTTGGAAGTTCCAGCACCCACCCTATAAGAAGACACCTGGCATATAAGTGACACCTGACTTTTGAGAAGATTTTCCTGGTTTAAAAAGTAGTCTTACACGCCAGAAAATACAGTAATTAGTGCTATGTTGTATAACCAAAATCATATAGACTATGTTTTTGGTTTTGAAGGGAAAATGCGATTGCGATTGCATCCGAATTTGTTAAACACATTAAATAACTTCTTTCTCCAAGAATTGGTGCATCAACTTTTTAGTATACTTTCAGCTCCATCTTGTCCTGTCCTTTCTTTTCTTTTTCCTTCCTTCCTTCCTTCCTTCCTTCCTTCCTTCCTTCCTTCCTTCCTTCCTTCRTRCCTTCCTTCCTTCCTTCTTCCCTTCCTTCCTTCCTTCCTCACTCCTTCCCTACCRCCCTTCCTCCATTTTTTAAGAAGCCATATATTTAGCTGTTAAAATATAACACAGAATGAAATAAACTTAAAGACATGAAGTTGAAACATAGCTATTTGGGACAAAAGGGACACACTCCAGTTTACAACACAATGGAGAACTAAATGTTAAACTTCATGCTATAAAGGTACAACACGCAACCAAATTTACTTCCCCTCCCCCCGCCCCCAAAACCTAAAGTAAGCATACTAGGATGTCTGTATGCAAGCAGCTTTCCCTCCCACACTTTTTTTTTTTTGCTAAATTAACACTACCCACACGCATGAGGGCTAAAAATGAGGAAAGGACTTCCTCAGACTCCAATGGAGTAATTGTTAAAACCCCCAAATAATAACGTGAGTTAGTGGGAGAGCGGATCCAGTAGGATAGTGAAGGGACCTCACCGTGCACAGGTAAAGCATGCCTTATGCTTGCTTCAGAATAAAAAGAAATTAATGTTTAGCTGGTGCCCTTAAAATAGATGTGCAGCCTGACCTTTCCTTTACTACTTCATCTAAAAAGCGCCATTCCATCTTTCATGAATATGCTGTGTTGAGTGTGATGGAAGGAACTGACTCTGGGAATTAGATTTTCTATATACATACAGTCAGCACATGCCTAACATGTAGTTTGTTTGATGTTAGTGGTGCTGTACAAACATTCAAAATCTTGTGTAGGCCATTAGCTATTTACAATATAACAAGTGAATGAGCCCTTAAACAATGAATGATTGTAAACTACATTGAGGTCATTGACTGACTTAAAATTTGGATGTAAAACAAGATCAATGATGGCATCTGCAATACATTAATACACTGACACCTCTTGTTCTATAAGACAACACTTTAGACACATTTGACCTTCTGGGGTTCTGACTTCAACTCACAGAAGACCCAACCAGTTCTGGAAAGAGATATGGGAGTTGCAATCCAAAGAGCCATGGTACTGGAACTGAAGGTAATGGAACTGAAGACAGGTATTTCTAATTCTTTGATTTAGATAGTGTAGAATTAATTGCCTTTTTGTCTTTGGAATACAAGGAGGGAGACCTTGCACTTGCATAAGCTATGCATGTTCAACTAAAGATGTATATAGAGCTGTAGTTTCTATGGCTTTGTCAGCACAGTCATGGCTCCAGCAAATAGCAACATCTCCAATCACATAGATGGAAAATTCATTCATACAAGGTATAAAGAAGTGGTTTGTCACTCTACTCCTTGGAGCCACTACACATAATTGAGAGATTTTCTATTACTCTACTTTCCTGTATTCAGTAGATGTATGATTTTCACAGGAAGAGAATTGTCTGCAAGTGCCCATCACCATCTGCAGGGAGAACTCAGAGCATCTTGAAATGTGTAAAAACATCTGCCTGGAAGGATTGTGGAGCAATTTCCCATGTCTGTATGAGAATTAACTTCTAAAAAACTTACATCTTGTTTAATACGTTTCCAACAATATTAATGGCAATTAGATAAACAAGGACATACATTCAACTTGTTAGTTCTAACCAGAGTAGATCTGTTGAATCAATGGGAATTTGGTAAATTAGTATTTATATACATTCCATTGATTCATCAGTCTGCCATAGTTGTGACTAACATGTGAATTTAGGCTGAGCTCAGCTGATGGACACTTTGCAAGAAGTTCACCTTCAGTTAATGAAAGAAAGTGAGATTTCTCAGGAGATTAGCTACAAATTAATTAAACTATTATTCTATAATCTATTGTGCAGGGATAAATTTCTACAATTAAGCCTCAGAACATGGTAATATGCAATGTCTTGTTTTTTTCTTTTAACATACATGAAGCAATCATGACTGAGATGTATAACTTGCCATTTCAACACAACTCAAGAAGCAAGATCAAGAGATAGTGAAAATGACTGTGGATGAGCTTCAGTCTTTTTGTTTTGGATTCTTCCTCCACAGACTATGAAATCTTAATTTAATATTTGAAAATCAATATTAAGTGAGAAGGTTCTAGGGATTGTCTTGTTTGTTATACTGAACCTTGGTTTAAAATTCAGTCTCACTGGTATTTTCTAGGGAATATCATGAGAAGACATGACTCACTAGAAAAGACAATCGAAGGTTGTAGGAAAAGAAGACCATAATCCAGATGGATAGACTCAATCAAGGGAGCTACAGCTCTGAGTCTGCAAGTCCTGAACAAGGCTGTTGATGACATGGTGATTCTAAGATCTCTCATTCGTAGAGTCACCATAAATCGAAGATGACTTGATGGCAGTAAAACAAAAAAAGTAAATATGCTGAAGTGGACTTTTAGCATTATGGAAAACCAAAGGACTAACAGCAGGGCTACATTTTAGTGCAAGATGACACTGAATCTGCCTGAGTGCTTTCTGCATTAAAATTTGCAATGTTTTTTTTTTTTTTTACTGATAGATTAGGGGGAAAACACAGGAAAACTGACAGACATCTTCCCCCAAATACTGGTGATGACAGAAACACTATGACCTACTGTATGATATCAACATACTTGATGTGGCATCCACATTTCTTGAAATCATTAATAAGAATCAGTTACATTTATGCCATCAAGAGGATCAAGGTAAAGTACCCTTTCCCCTTGCAGCAGACAGACAAAACAAGGATTTAAAAAATTACATTAATATACAAATAGGAGCTGATATTATTACAACAAGTATGCTGGTTCAAGTCATTTGACCCACAGGGAATATTTAAGAATGTCTGGAAATTACCTCATATCCTCATTTTAATTACTTGGGAATGAATTATTTGGAAAAGTGGACATTCATTATTGAATTATCAGAAATAAGTATGCTCAATATAGAAAGATCTTCTGCCTGGTTTTCAACACACTTTTAAGACTGAACCACTCCTTCTCTTAGTCATTAAAGACAGAGGTACCATTTAAAGAGCATGTGTAAACGTAGCTCGCCTTTAAGCTGAAATGTTTATGGCAAATATATCTAGGAGGTGATCAAACACTGTGGCAGCCTCCCTTTTCTAATAACAACATCACTGCGACTCAAGATGGGGCAGCCAAAATAAATGCCTTCCCATCAAAAGAATTGCTATTGTCAAAAGCTTTCATGGCCAGAATCACTGGATTGCTGTAAGTTGTTCAGGATGTATGGCCATGTTCTAGAAGCATTCTCTCCTGACGTTTTGCCTTCACCTATGGCAGGCATCCTCACAACCTGGATACCTGCCATAGATGCAGGCAAAATGTCAGGAGAGAATGCTTCTGGAACATGGCCATACAGCCCAAAAAACTTACAGCAACCCAGAAGAATTGCTCTTCTGTCACCTGATCTCAAATATCTGTCAACAGAACTCTTCTACTAGCTATGATCTACTACTAGAAGAAGAATAATGCAGGCAGAAAAAGAATTAGGTGTGGGAGGAGGTGAGTTAGTCCAGATCAAATCTCCTTCAGTTCTTGGACACCACCACAATGCATTCCTAAACTGGGAGCAGTTCAGGTTAAGCATAGCTTCAGTTGGCCTATTGTCAATTCCTATTAGGCATGAATTATCAATAGGACTAGCTGCCTTTAAAAAAAAAGAAAAAAAGAAAGCAACACAGATCTCTGTGTTTTTACCCCTTCCTTACAATGAAAAAAAATTGCAAAACTGTCTCAGAAATTGGAGGGGAAGGAATTAATAGCATCACAACAGGCACTGTATGTATGTTCTTCTTTTAAATTAATGCGTGTGGAACAGAATTCTTTTTTTAAATTCAACAAACTTACTTGATCACAGTAATAGTATGTGTATTTACAAAGTGGTGAATCTGCTACCACCGCTCCCAAAACGGTAAGTTTGAATATACCAAGCGGTTTACTGTTTGCATGTTCTCAGTGCTTAATTTGGAAATATTTCACCATTATGCATCAGATGAGTGGAATCAATCCTAGACAGGGTGCTGCCATAATTAAAGCTACTCCCTGTGCTCCTATTTATAATAATGCCTGAGATTCTTAAAACTCAAGATCATAACAACAAACATAAGGGCTGTATTGTGCCTTTTATCAGCCTTCGCTGCTGCATTGTTTTAGTGCTGGGGGGATCTATTTAGCAATGTAGAAACCCACAACAAACACTGTTTGTTCCACATAACGGGGAATTGATAACGGGATTGTTTGGAAACATGCACAAGGTATTTTGGAAAAAGCCATTTTTCATGAACCAGCCCACGCAGAATCGCTACAATATTGTAGCCCCTGCTGCATCCATACTTCTTGGGTCTTTTACACCAATTATGAAGTTATTGGTTCTTCTAGCTCCATGAACCAGAGAGAGGATGTCAACTTTGTTCACTTGTTGACCTCTGCTTGTGAAGTAGTTGATATCTTCTTCGGGAAACTCACCTAAAGAGAGAATTTTAGAAAACAGTTATTTTTATTGAAGAGGATTCTTCCTGTCTCTCTCCATCAGGAGTGGACCAAGACATTTTGCTTCTAAAGCAATCTTCTCCTCCCCTTTTCTCCCACAATACTCCATATACAGAGCAAAAGACATCATTGCCAGAAGAATAGCATTTTCCACTGCTCTTGAAAACAGAAAGCTAGCTCAGGAAACACTGCATAAACTATCAATATACAAAGGGATTGTGTAGCACCTTAGAGACTTGGGGCTTTATCACACAATACAAGCAAAGTGGAAGTGCAGCAAGATAATAGTACCTTTGGTGGCGTCTTACCACATGATATTGTCACTGCAATTGTTCTGTGGGACCCGGGGCCCTTCCACACAGCCATATAACCCGAGGTATCAAGGCAGATAATCCACAATATCTGCTTTGAAATGTATTATCCGAGTCCACTGCCGTATGATCCAGTATAATGTGGATTTTATACAGCTGTGTGTAAGGGCCCTCAGCTTTGATATGTGATCTAATGGGTTGAGTGGAGCTGAAGGCCTTATATCCCAGGCAGCCCTGGCTTCTTTGCTTTCATCAGATTATAAGATGGCGTTGTAGTGCTATAAAAGCATTGCAATGCTACAGCTCTATAATGCCATGAGCTGTCTTAAGCAACAGAAGAGGGGCTTGGGAAATCACTGTCGGCAACAGAAGAGGGGCTTGAGAAATCACTGTCAGCATAGTCAGTTATCTAAAAATGTTGTTTGATGAAGTTTTGGTACAGAATAGTTGCTTAACCACGATTGCATTTACTACCATGTGTTACTGGATCAGATTGCAAGTGGTTTCAGTGATGATAGGGAAGGTAGTCATATAACCCCCAACCAAATTTGTTCCCCTGGAAGGCCTGTGTGATTTTTCTTTCACAACTTATAGAGCTGATAGCTATACAGGAAGCCCCCACTTATCTGACAAGTTTAATACCAGAGCACAGTCAGAAAGTAGAATATGTCAAAAAGTGGAACCCAGAATATTTTAGCTTGCAAATTCATTTTGACTGCTGAAAAATGTAAATAACACAGTATACATATCACTTTTGAATACATTATAAAGGTAAAATTGCTTTTACATGCATTCAAAAGTGATTCAAAGAGTAGTCCACCTTTTCTGTAGGCAAACTTTGAGAGTGTGTAAGTGTATGCAAGCAGTCCCAAGTGAGTCTTGAAGGCAAGAACTGATGAAAGAGCGAACCTCTCGTCAGATTAATGGAACTTGTCTATAATTTTCAAGCATTGAAAAAGTGAGGTGTCAAAAAGCAGGGCCACAATAGATGGGGAAAGCCTGTATAATTGTTCTTCCGTCTTTCAAAAGCTGTCCTGTTTAGCAAAGAAAGTTTCCAAGACAAATTTAAAAGGGTTATTCTGCAATCTTTCTTAGCTGGTCTTTAAAAAAAAAAATTAAAAAATTTCACAGACAAAACTGTGTATGCATGTATTTTTGATACAACATAAGTGCAGTAACAGAAGCCTGTACTTACTATCAACTTCCAAGATATTAGATTGTATCTGAGGATGAAGCCGGCCTAATGAAAGACTCTCACTCAGGTTTTTGTTATATGTTAAAACATTCACCAAAACCTGTTAAAAAGAAAAAAAATAGAATATGAAAATATTAATAAATTGTTCATGGGAATCTAGAGTCCTTTCCATTAGACTTCAAAGTGAAAACTAAGCACGGGAAACAGGTATTGCTGGACTGCAACTCCCATCAACTATACTGGATAAAGCTGATAGATATTACAGTCTGACAGAATTTAGAGGGCTACATAGTCCACATTCTTGATGCAGCATATTTTGATTATCAACATCATCATCACCATTGTCAGCCTCTCACTTTATTTCTGTGACTTAAAGCAGCAAATGGGCAGAAACATCTTGACCATGATAGCAAGCCCAGGCCATACCTGACATATGTTTGAAGATATGCCTGCACACTGGTCTATGTATACATGTTTAAGAGATGTACAGTCCTCCCTCCATATTTGCAGATTTTATTAATATAGTCTCTCTGGGATTCTAGGTTCTCCAGTGTGATCCAGTTAACTTCAGAATCTTGATCAGATATGTTTTCTGTCTAGGTGGATAATACTTGATTATGCAGAAGTTTTGGGATATTAAGTTCCACAAACCCTCATCAATGGACATGCTAGGTGAGGATGTTGGGAGGATGGTAAAAGTTTCTCACTGACACAGAGGAATGTGTTCTATGGAATAGTATCCAACCATCTGAACAGCCACATGCTGTCCCAAGCATGATTACCATCCAAAACAGAGCCCCAACTGTGCCTTCCTCCTAGCCTAAGTCAACATCCGTTTAGAACATCTTGCCTTTTTGTACATTCACACTGGAGTTCTTTCTTTCCTCTAGTCCCTTTCTCGTTGTGAGTAAACCACTTGAAACAGGGCACTTGATTTTAGGGCAAAACTACAAATGTACTACAGTGCTTGGAACTAACCTGTGTAATGCTGCTCAAAGCTTTGTCTCCACCATTGGCTCCCAGACAAAGGTAGGTTCCACACATTCCTTCTGATGGCCGAACAACAGTGGGTAGCAAGAAAGATAAAGGCCTTTTCCCTGGTTGTATGGAATTCATCTGCAAGAAGAAATTTCGTCATAATTATTAACTATGGGCCCTTCCATACAGCTATATAACCCAGAATATCAAGGCAGATAGTCTACAATGCCTGCTTTGAACTGGGCTATCTGAGTCCACACTGCCGTATAACCCAGTTTAAAGCAGATGATGTGGGATTTTATACAGCTGTGTGGAAGGGGACTATATCAACAGCCCTCTTCCCTGTTCCAAGTTCTTGCTCATGTGCATTAATTTTGTGTGAGCATGGTATTTTGTGCACCAAAATGTGCTGTGAATAAGGCAGTTTTTTTCCCAGATGTGTTGGGCTAAATCTCCCATCATCCCCATTACCCAGCCAGTGCTATGCTGGATGGAAATGATGGAAGCTATTACCCCAAACATCTGAAAAGCATCAGGTTGAGGAAGGCTGGGATGGGACATCATTCACAGGCCCTCTTCAGATAACATTATATAGCATTACCTTTATCTAACAAACTTTTAAAATGTCATCAACAGCCAACTGTGTTTGCTTGTTGCTGAGAAACAAAAAGGCTTATGGTACCTTAATGGTACCTGATGAAGTCCACAATAGTTAATGCCAAAAAAATCTTCTAGCTTTTAAGGTGCAGCAAAAAATTTTGTTTCATGTATTGTCCACTGGAAGATGAGGTAGTTGCAAGATGAAGATGGTTTTCAGGCTAGGACAAAGCTCAATGTCAGACCGACCTTTACCTTGACAGAACAATGTATGCCCACAAAATGCCCTTTTATTTTTAGGCATGACTTGAGATCTCTATCTGAGCTATTTATACCAACTTCATACAATTTACTGGTAATTGTTATGGCTCCATTCTAAGGATTCGTGGGATTTGTATTTCAGGTGAGTGGACTAAGCTCCCCAGAAGCAAATTCTAAGTGACTCTTCAAACTATAAATCCCAAAATTTCTTAACATGAAATTAAAACAACCAAATGATGTGAATTCTATATTATTCTCTAATGCAGATACAGTCTAGGAGAGTGTGTGGACAGTGTCATTATAAAGTCTAGATATTGAGTGGCACTGAACCTTGTGTTATTTGAGTGGCATCATTGCATCCATTTTGTTCACATATTGGAAGCACAATGAAGTTCATGACCAAGCTGCTTTCTTGATTGAGCATTTTCTAAGATGCATAGTGAAATTAGAAGTATAGTTTTTCACTTCACCTGCATATGGGGATTTGATTGAAAATTTATTGTCAAAACCAGAACCGCTCCTGATTAGTTTCCAAGATTCTAAGATTGGAGATAGGATCTCATACCTTTAGAGCAGTGGTTCTCAACCTGTGGGTCCCCAGGTGTTTTGGCCCACAACTCCCAGAAATCCCAGCCAGTTTACCAGCTGTGAGGATTTCTGGGAGTTGTGGGCCAAAACATCTGGGGACCCACAGGTTGAGAACTACTGCTTTAGAGTATTTCAGCCTTGATAGCAGCTTTATAGGTACAAAATTTGGAAAGGTCAAATTAGATTACTCTTCAACTAAAAATTATGACCTACTGACATCAGTAGATTTGCATTTGACTCCGTGGGTGGCCAAGGCTAGATCGTGGTTTGCTGCTGAATCTAGCCCTGTCTAATGAGGTTATCAATCAAGGAAGTCACAGCTCTGGATTTGCAAGACCTGATGACAGGGTGACATAGAAGACTCTTATTCATAGGGTCACCATAAGCCAAAGTTGATTTGATGACAGCTAACAATTCTACACTCTAAATTCTTGGATTCTGTAAGATGGCATCATGGCAGTTTAAAAGCCATCAAACTGCTATAACTATGTTTGTGTAGATTCAGCACAATTTTTCATGTATGAAACCATAAACCTCACAAGAACTGTGAGGTTCCTAAACCTTAATTACCTTGGATATACTTGTATTTGATTAATAGGTTGCACCACATTTACATACAGTAACGTCTCCTTGCATTATGTGTGTCAGATTGATTTCATAATTTATTACCAAACTGGGACTGGAATGATCTTCAGTTTCATTCATCCATGAGAAGTCCAGCATCTGACTGTTTAGAAGGATTCCAGATGAAGTCATTATTCCACTTCCAAATGGACGATTCAAGGAACTGAAGAAAAACACAAAGCATGGTGAGACTCTGAACCTTCAGTGTTTTCAATGGAATCCTGGAAATTGTAATCTTATAAGGTATTTAGTCTTCCCTGCCAAGGAGTGCTTGTGGCTCACCAAAATATAAATCTTATGAATCCAAAACATTGAGACATAGCAGTTAAAGTAATCAAACAGCATTAATTCAACTTAGTGAGAAAAGAGAGACAATGGATGCCTCTAGACAGTTAAATTAATGCAATTTGATAACATTTTAATTTGTCAAAGCTCAATGCTGTGGTATCATGTAGTTTTGTAAGGTCTTTATCCTTCTCTGCCAAAGGTTGCTGGTGCCTCACCAAATTAGAAATCCCACGATTCCATACTGCAAACCCTAGAATTCCATAGAGTTGAGCTTTGACAGATAAAGTGGTGTCAAACTGCATTAATCCTGTAGAATTTAGCTATATCATGACACTCAATATGTTCTGTCTTTGGGGCTATATAAATAATGGAACAATGCATCAATTACTATAATAACATGCTTAAAAGGTAAAAACATAAATTATGTCCATATTTATAATTATCTTATACATACCAATAGTTCAAAAACACTTACAGAGATCTCCAGTAATTTGTTTTTTAAGTTGCATCTGGGGACCTTTTACACTGTACAAATATAATTCTAAGATTCTGCCTTAATTAACATAGCAACAGCACATGGAATCCTGGGATTTGCATTTTAGAGTGAGGTATTTAAACCCCCTGGAAGAGAGCTGAGTTGCCTCATCAAGCTACAAATCTCTGGATTCAATAAGATGAAACTATGGCAGTTAAAGTGTTTTGATGATGTACTGTGAAAGGGTCCTAAGTAACTAGCAATTTTTTTTCTGGAAGAAAGTACAACTTGAGGAAATTTAGAATGGATTGTCAGAAGCCTCTGTCAGTATTGTTAACCCACTGGAATGCATATTGCAACTGCACACATGGGTACAATTTATTTTGGTGCCTCATGAAAATATTCTAATAATTATTCTATTGTTCTTTTTAATAGTCCCAAGGAAGATCATGATTATCTGGCTGACATGTGTTGGGCATTCTACGTGCATTTACTTTAGGGTTGACATAAGTAGGAATTAACTTGAAGGCACACAACAACAACAGAAGCAGCAGCAACAACAACATCAACAATATAAATTATTAAATGAGAAATCACTGTCTTTCCATGAAATGGCATCTTTATTAGAACTTTCAGAATCTTCCAGCAACGTAGTGGATTCCAGGAGCTATAGCCTTCTAAACTCTATCAAAATCCGCTCTGTACATTTTCTCTCCCTGACTAATAGTGAACTGTGATTAGAAATGGGAATTATGCTTTCTAGTATGTCTACTTCTGAACTGTATAAAACATATATTTTTGTTACCTTACAACAGCGACAATGTAGTCATCTGGTCCCATGACAAGAACTTGGCTAGCAGAAGGTCCACTTTCCATGGAAAAATGTGGGATGTGAAGATCAGAGGGGAAAGGCTGGGAGTCAATCTGTTGACGGAGGAAGTTTGCCTTAGATTTACTGCATTGAAAAGAAAGAGGTGTTTTAAAGACAGACTAGAAAATAGAAGAAAGTGGTACATTTTAGACATTAATTTCCCAAATAAGCCAAGAAACAGTATTCTGTATAGTACTTTTCTTGAAATTTAGCTTATGAGTTTTGCCACTGCTTTACTTCAGCATATTTTTCCTATTTTATAATCTGCATTTTAATATAAACAACTCAGAAAACTTTACCATATCAAAAGTAAATGGTATAAATCTAGGAAATCAGCAAATAAACATGATACATATTGCTGCAGTCATTCATCATGAAGTACAAAAGGACTCTTGCTGGAAATTCATCTTTTATCAAATACAGGCAATAAAAACAATTTGAAATGTCTATAAAATGGCAGATAACAATGGGCCCTGAAAATTGGTAAAAGAACAAAATAATATTTTTTGAAAAAACATTAAGGGAAAACCTTTTCCACATCAAAATCAAATGAGCACTGAGTATGCTCACTATGGAGAAGGGAGGAAAAAACAAAACCAAAAGGCAAGGTGAGGAAGGAGAATGAAATGGGATATCTTGGAAAAAGTCATAGCTGACTAGTATTCAGCATTGGTTCCCACTCACAAATCTTCAGACCAAAGGGTTTTCTTTTTGGACTAAAGCTTCTAAAATACCCAGCTAGCATGTCTGCATGCCACTCTGGTAGCTATTGTACCCAAAAGGTAATACTATCAGCTCTCCAAATTTGCTGAGACAGGATTTGGGGGAGCAGGACCCCCCACATAAGTAAGAAAACAATGAATATAAAACTCTTTTTAACCTGAGAGAGCACATTTCAAGTAATCTCTAGATCCTCCAATGGAACTCTGTGGTCAACTTCCAACAAATTTGTGCTATTTTATTGGAACTTCCACCAAGTTTGTGCTACTTTACTTTATGGCCAACTTCCATCAAGGTGATCATAAAGTCACACCAGAAGGTTTAGAGATACCACATTAATTAAATCATGAACAATCAAATCCACATGTTAAACCTGAAAATGTGGAGATCCAACTGTATTTACCCTTTACTGGCTATTTGCTTTCTAAATTGTTGAATCCTGTTGCAAGTGTCCATAGCAGAGAGCTGCAACTTTTTGTGCCTTTGAAAATGAGCAATCCCTGACCATCATGATCCTGAACATAACAACATGAAAAATTGTTGTATGTGATATGTTTAGACTTACCTCATCATGTCTTCCACACTGTGAGAAATGGATGCATTATAGAATGGGTCTCCCAGGCTGCTAGCTAGTGCCAGAACTACTTTCAGTGTCTACATTAAACACAAAAGGAAGAAGATGAAACTAAGATGTGAATACTATGTGACTCTCTAACATTCTCTTCTCAATGAAAGATGGTATGGGGTGTTACTGTAGCAAATGATACAACTTCCTTTTGTTTGATCTTCATGTTCTATTCTATTCATATATCAAACTAGAGAAGACAGTTTGTATATCTGATGGTTACTATTATCTTTTTTTTTTTAAAGAAAGCAGCAACTAACAGCATACTTTTAGTTCAAGCTGGACATAATGTAGCAACATCTTTGGACAGATAGTATTTATTCCCTTCCAACCCTAGTTCTTCTTGCTAGATACACCAGGAAACAAAACTGAGAGTAACTGGAGGAAGTAAGGGCTTAAAAAAATCCTTACAAAAGATTGATGAGTCCCATTTACAGGTACTAGAAGAGAAGCCACAAGGAGGCGCCGTTAGCTTAATATATGCCAAATTATCACCATGTCTTCCATGGGGATAGAACAAAGAACACACAAGATTGCAACAAACTAGATTGCACAATTTTCTGTTCCAGAAGCATGGGTCTTGAATCACAGAACTGGAGTCTATTAATGTCTCCAAGCAAAGCCTCTAGAATGTTAATATTCTCCATTAACAATGTCTTGAACACAACAACTTCCAGTGTGCTTATCTTTATAGAAGAAAAGCATGACTGGCCGGAGAACCAAAAGCCTAAACTTCATGCACTCTAACTGCACAAAGGGCATTGGCATCATCATCATCATCATCATTTCAGATCTGAAATGTATGCAAAATTTCAATTAATTGTGATTACACTAATCAGATACAGAGAATCTCTGTTCCTTCAAAGAACTTCATGGAGTACCATACTATCTGAAAACAAAAATGTGAATGTAACAGTTTGATTATGAATTATAACAGCCTATTTGAAATCCACATTGATCCATTGTACATAATACAATGTTTAATGACATTTCACATCTTTGTATCATTGTAGCAGTGGATACTTGTCCTTTGTACCATAATATCTGACCACAAAATTCTGCTAGCTAAGACTGATGAGAGTATGAAGTATTTAATTGCACAGTTTTTTGGAGATAATGTCAAAGTAATTTCATAAATTTGTTTAGTAAGAACGTACAGGATGACCCCCATAACTACAAGGGAAACTTTCCTAAACTTATTGTGGAAAACAGGGAAATATGGCTGTGAACCATAATAAGATAAACAACTTCCACAATAAGTTATCAAAGTTCCCTTCTACACTACCATATAAAATCCAGATTATTTGCTTTGAACTGGACTCCTATAATCCAGTTCAAAGCAGATACTGTGGATCGTCTCATCTGATAATCTGGATTATATTGAAGTGTAGAAAGAACCATAGTGTCACATTGGAGGACCTAGAAAATGCCTAGAGAGTTATCCTATCTAAGAATTTGCTAGGTTCTCAAGGGCATCTCTATGGTAACTTCTGGTGGAAACATGCTATAGAATCACCTGGAGAACCTAGACAATTTTCAGAGAGGGTGTACTTTGTCAGCTGTGGATAGGTGAAACCAGAGATACCCATCTCAAGGGCATGGGGCTCATACCATATAGCATTTAGACAGCTAGCATGGTGTTATAGGTTTAATATTGGACTTGGACTTCAGGATATAAGGTACTGATTTCCTGCTCAACCATAGAAACCTACTAACTGACAAGTCACATTCTCTCAGGCAATGGCAAACCTTCTCTGAAAGGAAGCCAATGTCAAGTCATACCTCTGTTATCCACTGGAGAATATTTTCCCTGGCTACTTGGCTGGTAATATTAAAACCCTCAAGGATGTTCAGAGCAGTAATCAGAGCAGGGCCAACATGTGGAGGTGATGGACTCAGGACAAGATGACCTGTTAAGACCCAAAAAGAAAAGCAAAAGCAGGATGAGGTTGTGGTCAGTTTTGGATATGCAATGCAACAATGCCTGTGCTAGGGAGTGGGTCAAAAGAGGGAACAACGTAGTGGAAACAGATAATTATAAATACTTGTGTGTTTCCCGTTTAGGTGTTGTCTACATGGACAAAATAATATTCAGCTTCAACCTACATTTTCCTGGTTCATAGTGGTCATGTTAATCTCAAACAGTTAAATGAGATGAGAATGGCATTACTAGCCACATGTTTTGCCTATGCAAGCTCACTTCTGTTTTCAAGGGCAGTTCAGCAGTAAACATGTGTGCTATACTTCACGTTATTTTCAGCCACTCTAGTTTTTTTCCTCATGCATGCAAACATATGTATGTCTGCATTATATATGTAGGCCTTGATAGGGCATTGGTCATCTATTAAGCTTTGTGTGTGTGTGTGTGTCAAGAGTGACTTGAGAAACTGCAAGTTGCTTCTGGTGTCAGACAATTGGCCAATGCCATCTGCAAGGATGTTGCCCAGGGGATACCCAGATGTTTTGATGTTTTACCATCCTTGTGGGAGGCTTCTCTCATGTCCCCACATGGGGAGCTGACAGAGGGAACTCATCCACACTCTCCCTAGATTTGAACTTGTGACCTGTCAGTCTTCAGTCCTGCCAGCACAAGGGTTTAACCCATTGTGCCACCGGGAGCTCATATCCTATTAAACTAAGCAAGTGGTATTTAAATGCTGATAGAAGTGCATTTAAACTTATGGGCAATTATTTGCACAACTGCACCATCAAAAACATTGGCTATATAACTAATAAACAAAATAAAAAGAATAAGATACAGGCAAGCTGGGGTTTTCACCTCTTCGCCATAAGTATTCAGAGAAAGCAATACCACACTAGTCCTTTGAAAGATGATTCACAATGAAACCTTAAAAATGTCAAGGAATAGCCACACTTAATATCTCTTATTTGTTCATAAAATTGATCCACATATAAGGCCATAATTTAAGAGACTGCCGTCCTGGCTGAAGGCATGCCAACAAATGTAAAAGTTATCCCATGTTACCTTGATATATTGTATGGACTGGATTGTCCATCAAGACGGTGTAGTTACTAAAGTCTTCTTCAGACAAGGTGCCTCCATATTTAAGGACCTATGAACAAGATTAGAGGAAGGGAAGAACTGAGCAATATCTTATGCAAGGCCAAAAGAAAATTAAGGCTTAGCTGACCAGCGGGCAAAACAATTACAGTTTTCCTATAAAGTATACATTGAAGACATGAACATGCCATAAGTGGCTGGTATCAAACATTCAGAGCCACGTAGAAATAAAGAAATCAAGAAAGTAAAAATGAAAGACAGAAGAATTAATTTACCTCTGAAATAATTTCTTGTGTCACATTTCCACTGTAGAAAGCTGAGACCCCTCCTGACCCTAATAAATGTAAAAGCGCAGCCAGATCAGGCCTTCTCATAAACATGCCAGGCAGCAAGGGCTGGCCATCCGGAAGGAAAATCTCTTTGAATCTGTCTGAGTAGTTATGCTGTTCTTTCACATCTCTGATAGCCATTGCTTTAGAAAATAGAAGAGATAATAAAAGAATGATTAGAAAAACAAATCCTCATATTAATTCAGAAGTTTAAGAAGTCTCTTTGTGTTTATTTAAACTATAGAATTAATGCATATCAACACTGCTTTATGGCTCAATGCTGTGGGATCATGGGAGTTTTACAAGGCTTTTAGCCTTCTTTGCTAGAGTGCCCGTGCCTCACCAAACCACAAATCCCAAAACAGTGAGATCAAGTGGCAGAAAAAGGAAAGCTGTTTGATATAAAGTATCTCAACTGAGACATCAAAACAGCATTGATCACTGAGCCATTGAGGATTTCAGAGACCATTTTGATTTTGCCAGCTTTGCAAAAGATGGTACAGCTTGCAGATATATCTCTGCCTTGTGCCTGTTCATCTATGATTCACTCACCTAAATCATGTGTGACATTGAATCCATCTTGGGCTACATCTGCAGCAAGACCCAGCAGCTGTCTCCATGGCAGCCTAGCAAACAGAGAAGTATGCCATGACTTGGCGGTCATCAGCTGGCCTTACCATAGTTTTCAATAAAATGTGAGATAAATGTTATTGAACAAAGTTGCATTGCAAATGTAAGTCCTATTCATGCTGTGCTGTAACTGAGATTCATAAGGCCAATCAATCGTTCATGGGGAAGAAAAAAATGATTATTCAAAAGGGTATAGTTTGTTTTGTTTTACAATTATTTTCATAATATTGTTATATTCACATTAACTTCTTGATTTGACTGTTTTGCCCTTGCATTTTGTTGTAGTTGAGTAAAACTCTTGTCACAACAGTTATGAAAATCACTTCTCACATTGCACAGCCGCAGAACCATGCTTATTATTAAACATACACCAATCAAGAATATTTATTTGTTCCTAATTCCTTGAACAGTCTACATGGGGGTGACATTGATACATTTTCACTTTTGTGTGTACTGTGTATGCTGTTGTATGACTTCAAGTTGTTTCAGTAACCTTAAGGTGACTCTAAAAGAGAGGTTTCTTAGCAAAATTCCTTTGGGGGAGGGGGGTTGTCATTGTCTTTCTCTGAGACTGAGAGTGTGTGATTTGCCCAAGATTACTCAAAGGGCTTCGACAGCAGAGTAGGGATTGGAACCGTGGTATTAATCTAGCATTTAAACCACTACAACATATTAGCTCTCTTTTCTTGTATACATAAAACCGTTTATAGGTACGCCTTAAAAATATAATGTGTGACTCTTAACTGGTCCCAGTTGTGTATATAGCCTGCAGAAATAACAACTCCAAAAACCACATTATTATTACATGAATGCTTTGCATGGGAAAGGTCCTCCTTACCTCCCATAAGATTGATGTGCTTCATGGAGCCCTTTGACCATGCCTGGAACGCCAACCAGGAGGCCCGGCTGGACAAAAGGAAGTATATGGATGAGTTTTGCAAGAGTTCAGCTCATGTTAATTAAGCAGAGTCTAAGTTTTAAGTAAATCCCCTTTTTTGCAATATCCAATTAGGAAACACAAGGCATGCAAAATAACGTACAGATGCAAATTTTAAATAATGTAGTCTTGAAGGAAAAGGGTCCAAAGATTTCAAAAGTGTTGGCAGTGTTTCTATTAACTTTCTTATTATTACAGGGGACAGGCATATAATGAGAGATATAATGAGAGAGGAAGAGCCCTTGTAATTACTTTTTTTAGTCACTTTCAATTGCTAGAATGGTGTAATTATTTTAATGTACACCACTTAGAAATTGTAATATAACAAGTATACAAGCCTGTATTGCAAATATGTTGCATAAATAAATACATTTACCACCGTGCTTCTCAAAAAGTATAGGGCCTTTCAAACCTTTGTTTCCCAAGCCTTCCTAAGTCCCTCTTCTTGGATATTGAATGGGGCAGTCTCTCGGAAGTCAATCACCCGGCTCTCATTCTTCCGGATATCATGAACCAGCATTACTCCTCCACTGCAATAATTAAGGCATGCAAAAGTGAAATAGATACTGAGAATGCCTTATCACCTCATGAGCAAAGTGTGTTTTTATGTTTGCAAGGGTTCAGAACATGTTAACTAAACAGTGTCTCAGCTTTAAGTAAATCCACTTTTTTAATCCAATTAGTAAATATGAGGCAAGCTAAATAATGATGCAAAGTTTTAAATAATGTGGTCTATAAGAAAAAAGGTCCAAAGGTTTCAGACGTGTTAGCAGCGTTCCTATTAGTTTTCTTATTATTACAGGGAACAGGCCTATAATGAGAGATACAATCCATCATCCTTTTACAGAAACATGTTATGTGTTTTTAGCAGATATAACAGGACAGATGGATCAAGAACGTGTCTAAGTGAAATGTACACCCTACTTTTCCATGAATGAGTATGTCAACTACACTATATAAGCACCATCTTGTCTTCACTTTGGTAATAACCTTGTCAAGTAGGTCAAGGTGAGAGAAGTAGGCCAGGTTGAGACTAAGAACATCCAGTGATTTCGTACCTTGTGAGGACTAGGATTTCTAAATTCCCAGCACTCTAAGCATTAATTACAAAGCCTCTCTGCTTATTGCCTTTAGTCCTAGTTCTGGGGTTAAACAGAGAAGGTCAGCTTCTACAGGCAGAACATTAAAGGAACCAGCAATGGGCAGCATTATTACTTATTTAAATTGTTATATTTGTATTTTTATTGGTAGGGATCGAAGATGGTGCCCCACACAATCAAATGTCTAGACATGTTCACTTTCATTTTCTCTCTTTCTCTCATACACACCCTGCCTGGTCCCAGTCAGGTAGGGTTTTCAAGTTGCCTTTGCATTTATAGTGACCTGATGAATTGAATACAATTTTCATATCCCCCCATACTAATTTGGGAGGGATACTTTCCATTAATTGTCTGTGGCCTCACTTTTCAGATCATTTCAACATATTGTCAATCCTCCCCCCCTCACACATCCCACTTTTTCCTCTCTTTTTTTATCCCCACCGCATTGATGCAAACTGAGTTCAGCTTGCAAAAGTTGTTTGCACTCAATTAACCCAGCAGGACAGAGAGAGGTGGCCGGAGAATAATCTTGCCCTTCCAAGTAGACTCAGGCAAAAGCACACTGCTGCAGGCTCTCCTAGCTTGTGTGTTCTTTCTCATTTGTAACTTTTGCCATCTTAACCAAACTCTTATGTTACTTGGCCATGTGGATTCATGTTTTCATCTGTGATATGCTGGAAGGCCTGGGTTGATATGTAGAAATGGTTTGACATTTCTTCCCTTTGAATGCAGCCTTTTATGGAGGTGCTAAAAGCTCAAAGTTTCCCTGTCCATCAGTGTTTGTGTGAAATGTGATTTGATTTTTAAATGGAGTTCTGACTCAGCATTCTTTCCATTTCTTCAGCACTTAGCAGAAAGAGCCACTTATATTCCTCACAAGCATATCAGCCATCTGCCTTCTCAGATTTTGGGAGCTTTAGTTTTCCAAAACCTGATTCTAATTTAGACAGGCATTGGGCTCTCTCCATCTCCTCCTCCCTCATGGTAAAATTCAGAACTTTTGTCCTTAAAGGCTCTGTGATTGTCAACAAATCTTTGCCAAAAAGCTAGGTGTAACCCTGTAGCAATCAAGGAACTTTGTCCCCTCCTTCTAGCAGAAGGTATTTATGTTGCTACCTCTTGTATAACCAGAGTATAAATCAGTGCCAGGTCTGTTCATCCCCACACCCAATCATCAAAATGCCTAGTTTGTTGTTTGCCGTGTATCATCTGTAATAAACTTTTGATGTTGCATCCTGTTCTGTATCTGCAATAATCCACAAAAGTGGATTATTTCTGATAATAAGGAGAAATTGAGCTGGTTGATGCTAGGTACTGAACTCTGAAGATCCCACTTAGGACTACCTGGATGGAGAAGTTCAATGAAAGTAGGGTATACTTGTCTCATCAGTGAGTCACCAGAGTTGGCTTTAAAACTTCTGTCATTACAGGATAGAGTTTTCAGGTCAGAGAATCCAGAACTTACAACTCCCAAGACCAGGTATCCTCAAACAGCGGCCCTCCAGCTTTTTGGGCCTCCAACTCCCAGAAGCCCTAATGAGCTTGTTCAATTGTCAGAAATTCTGGGAGCTGAAGGCCCAAACAGCTGGAGGGCCGCAGTTTGAGTATGCCTGCCCAAGACCATCTGGTCAGAGTGGCTACCTGAGGGACTCTGAGAGTTGTAGTCCAAAAAAGTAATTTTTCTCATTTCAAGGCAGAGAAAAACCTGAGTTTGAGGTTCTTCCAAAGGCAGGGTTTCTAGAAACCCGCTTTCCCAGTTCCAGCTCCAGATATCATGTGGACATCATGACTTCAACATAATCCTGCTCCAGATTGAAGTAATAGGGGTTGGTCTTTATATTTCAGATGTTTTCACAATTTCATAGATGACCTCATCAACAAAAAATAATTGACAATCTTGAAGGTAAACCATTTTATTTTAGTTTGCATATTTGTGAGTATAGGACTTCCTTGTGCTATTAAGCTTTATGCCAGTTTTTTTCTCCAATCTGATTCCCTCCAGAAGTGTTTGACAATATATCCCCCAATCCCCTGAAAACACTATTCCTGACTATATTTTGCATATCACACATTTATAGGACTATGATTTCACTTTGTCAAGGCTGCATCCTATACAGTTCTTGAGATTTGTATGGCCCCACAGTTCCCTGGATAAGCATTCTAGATATCACTTTTTGAACAGCAAATACCATGGATCTCAGAGGATGGGATCATGGTGGTGAAAGTGGAATCATACTACTATATTTGTGAAAATATGGAAGGACTGCTAGTTGGAGATAATGGGAGCTGTTGACCAACATGAGCATCAGTTTGGGAAAAGGTACCCTTTGGTTTGGAGTTGTTCTATACTTAACTTGTGTTATACTAGCATATATAGAAATGCTATTAATGTCAAATTGTCAGAAGAATTGGGAAATAGGCATAATGAACCTATTTTCACCTATTTTCATCCACATTTAAAACTGAGGGATTCTGTGTTATTAAATCAGTAATTCCAGAAAGACAATTTCAATTATTTTTACTTCTGCTGTATTTCTTTTTCTGGCATTTCCCCCCACTCCTAGTCTTGGACATTACTTTGATTTGAGCAGTTTCAGTGCCAAACTAGACTTTCCAGTTTCAACAAAAGTTCTCAAATCCCATCTGATCAGCCATGATCGGGTGACACATTTTATGTAACATGCCCTAGAACTTCCTGATATTTTTGCCACCTGGAGCTTGAAATCTCTCTTGCGTAATAGCTATTTAGAACAAACATTCTGATGGTTGAAAGGAGGCAATAGCTCTGGGCAAGAGGCCAAGATTATAGGAGGGAAAGGCTGGTGAAACTGACATTTATTGAATCTGAACTTTAGAGTGCAGAAACGTTACCAGCATATTTGCCATGAGTGAGCAAAACCATGCCATGTTTTTGAACAGCTGCTTGTCTTTTGGATGAAGATGGGCAACAGTCCTTCCATCTTCATCCATTCCTACACTCAAGGAACCACCCAACAATACTTTTCAACTTTTCAACAAAAAAGAAGGACTTTGCCTTTTGAAAGTCAAAGGGAAGAAAACTGAAACATTGACTTTGGCCTATGATGGCATAATTAGAACGAGCTCGCCATGAACAATGAGGATTGTTCTGTTGCCAAGTTAATTATATCCTGAAAGACATGGAGATTGGTCAGAAAATTGGTTGTTCCCTACTTTGTCTTAGGGGAAGGGTTCAACGTGGACCTTCAGATGCTGCTGAACTGTAACACCTAGCATGCCTCACTTTTGGCTGTGCCAGCTAAGCCAATGCAATTTGCTGTCGAGAAACATCTGAGGGCACACACTTTGTCTATAATTTGAGATAATTACAGTGGAAAGTCCTCTATTTGAAGGATAGCCAGAAGGCAGCTCTCTGTGTTTAGGCATCCTGTGTTTGAAGACATTTTCTGTTTAAAGAGTTGTCTGATTAATGACCAAGAACTACAAAAAGATAGATCTATAACCTTGATATTGCCCTTCAACGTTTAGCACCTAGATACCTGACTGAGTACCAAACACGCAAGTAACCTACTGTGATCCCTATGCCATTTCAATTCAAATTGTAGTCAATATTTCCATTGTGATGTGTGAATAATTAAACACATTTTTTAATGAAAATCTGCATCCCTCCTCTTGTTTTTAGATGATATATTTTCTTTATTTTCTGGGGAATACACGCATGGCTACTTGTGTGGACTGATAACTTTGTGAAAGTTTCTGGTTTTGTATTCCAAACCTATCATCCTACTTTTCTTTTAGGAATTTCCCATGATTTGAAGACACATACACAATAATCCTAGTACAGGAGCACTTGGAAAAATATGGATGGAAGCCACCTAACCTCATTGTAACAGTCCCAGGAAACACCCAAAGCTACTTTTATACACACATACACCTGTCTCTGGTTTATATATAAAACTAGCCGTCCCCTGCCATGTGTTGCTGTGGCCCAGTCTGTGTATATGTGTGTATGTATATATTTGTGTATATGTGTATATAGGTGTGTTTGTGTGTATATATATTTGTGTGTGTGTGTGGTTGTAATGTATTTTTTGTTTTTTGCTTTATCTCTTCTGTGTTTTTCAGTGTTTTTATGAGTGATGGTCACTTGTTGGCCTAATACATGTATTCTGTCCAAATTTGGTGTCAATTGGTCCAGTGGTTTTTGAGTTATGTTAATCCCACAAATGAACATTACATTTTTATTTTTATAGATAACTTAAAAGTGGGTACATACCCTCCAAGTCCAGCTGTGTGAGGATTAAGAATTCCTGAGCATAAGGCTGAGGCAATGGCTGCATCCACCGAGGAGCCTTGCTTGTTTAACACCTCGATCCCCAAAGCAGTGCATCGGGCAGCATCAGTGACTACGGCACCCTGATGAAATATCTGCGGGAAACCACATTGTGTGATTATGACACTATGTGCTGGTGACTGGTTCTTCAGAAAGGGCTAACATTGCTAAGCCTTGATTTTATCCAGACAAATAGTTTTATTTTAGCCAGTAGGGTTGAGTAATTCCACAATAATTTCTGCAATTTTTCTATGCCAATATGCATTTATTCCTGAGGCTCTGGAAAGCTCCTATTGGTCACTGGTCTGTTTGAGGAAATAGAGTCAGCCTTCTGTATCTATGGAGTATGCATCCAAGGATTCAACCATCCACACTTTTGCCATTTTATGTAAACAACATCATTTTACTATGCTGTTGTATATAATGGGACTCGAGCATCCCTGGATTGTGGTGTCCTGGAACTGAGCCTCAGCAAATATAGAGAACCCACTGAATAAGGCAATTTTTTTTTTGGCTGGAAAGAGCAACATATTTCACTATTTTAATCTAATTTGTCTCTCACTATTGCTGTGAGGATAAAAACTGGGAGACGGAATTATGATGAAAAAGAATTTACTGGAACCACATCTTCTTGGGAAAATACCAATTATGTACTTCCTCATATGAACAACTGGGAAGATTTCCCTCAGAAATCTTCACATTTAACAACAACAACAACAACAACAACAACTTCTTTATTTATGTCCTGCTACCATGTCCCAGAAGAGGTTCGGGCACAAAAGCACGCAGTACAGTAGAAGAATACACAGGGTACAGTAAAATACATCAACATTTCTAAAACAATAACAATGTCAATTTACATAAAACATATAGACATAGAACAGCATGTTCAAACTCCTATTGATTTAAATAAAACACAGCAATAGCGGACTTAAAATAGGTCATATCAATTTCAGTCACATAAAGTGCCGAAGTCAAGCAATTCACTTGGTCCAAGTTTTAACTGATGTTTTAATCATGTTAACTGATGTTCTAATCATTTCAAAAACCTAAAATGCATGCCGGCAAAGAAAAATTACAGATAGCTGTGCATCTGAAAAAAATGGGTGAGATTAAAATGGATATATTTGAAAAATACACACAAATATATGCACATCAGTGGGGAAATTGATGAGAATGTGCACATTGCCTCAAAAAACAGAAGCAAATTTATATGCAGAAATTTATAAAAGATCACAACCTACTGTAGAAGTGGAACAGAACAGAAACAAAATGGAACAAAACCAGATTTTGTACCTAGGTGAAAATATATGTCACCTGAAGCCGCATATATTTTCACCTAGTAACAAAAGGATGAGATAAAAATGTACATTTTGTCAGCTCTTGTTAAAATGACTTCACTTGTAATATTGAAACAACAACACTGGAAGTTGCTTATTTGGGGGCCTTCTACACTGCCATATAATCCAGAATACCAAGGTAGATAATCCACATTATCTGCTTTGAACTGGATTATCTGAGCCTACACTGCTATATAATCCAATTCAAAGCAGAAAATCTGGATTTTATGCTGTTGCATAGAAGGGATCTTAGAAGCCAGAACAATATTTACTGTGAGAAAACTACATCATAAGATGTGTCAGGTTGCACTTGTACATACAAAATAGCATGTATCCATGGAAGACTAATAGTGAAAGTGGTAAAACCTTAATGTTAGACTAAATTCCTTGACAAATAGCTCCTTCAAATGCTTCCTGATGGTGGTAAACTCATAGCATTGAATATATCAATAGCTATTTTAGCTACTAGAATCAAACAGTTATGCAAACTTCATTTCTTTTCAAAACTGGCACAGTAGACTAAGTACAGCAGTTGCCATAGTTATGCTTTCCTTACAGAGCTATGCAATGCAAAGAACAGAGCGTGCAAAACTAGAAGGAATTATTATTTTTCTCCCACTTCAACGTACTCTTCCTATCAAGAGTGGAGGGGAATCCTGAGTCAACTGGCTCTTCTTACCTGAGGGTCTCCAAAGTAAATCTGCATGATTAAGGCCACCGTGACTCCTGTAGCGAAGGTTAGGCAGGCGGTGATAATCACAGTCAAACCATCCTGGCGACAGCTGCAATCCCCAGAGAATGGGTCCTTGGTGGTCTCCTGAAGGGGTGAGCCATCCTGGCTGCCCATCTCCGATGAAGAGGAAGGCAGGCGCTGAAGGCGAGCAGACTTTAAGAAAGAATCGGGGTCTTCGTTCAAAAAGGAGAGAAAAGCAATAGGTGTGAATGAGAAAGAGAGATGCTCAAACACGTACACACTCCGTTTCTTAATATTCTTTCAAAGTTAGTACAATGAAGAACACATACTAAACCTGTACCTTCTCTAATGAGTTTGCTGCTCAAACAGAAACAAACTCAGATTCTTAATATTCCTCCAAAGCAAACACAATGAGATACTCATATTAAGCCTGCACTGCTTCCAATGAGATTACAGCTCTGAGTTTTAAAAAAAAAAAAAAACCTTTCAGGCTCAGGTGCTATTATGCAGTCATGTTATATGGACTTCCTATTAACCCTGTTGACAGCCTTGTGGCTGTAAAAAACAAACAAAAAGCATGCCCCTGTGATGCCACTATTATGTAGTCATATTACATAGACTTCCTATTAACCGTGTTGACTGTCTTATGACTGTAAAAAAATTAACAAACAAAAGCAAGCCCCTCGTTTTTCCTTGTTTGCAACTTGACTGATGTACAAAGTGGTTAGGGTTATCTAGAGTTTGGAAGTAATTAGTTACAATTAACTAGTTACTTGTAAATATTTTCCCAAAAGCAACAATATGACTGCAATACCTCACAACATAACAGTTTAAATAATGTACCAGTAAGGCCTTCTTGCGGACCAACATGAGAATTTGGGGGGGGGGGGCTGAAGCCCCTCAAGCCCCCCCCCTCCCCCGGCTACATGCCTGCATAGTTACTGCTCTGCAGAACTTGAATGAGTGATTTTTGGTCTTACATTTTCAAAATCATTTATGTTTATGCTAGATGAGGAATTCTGGGAGTTGGAGTTGCTCATTGAAGTTCTGATGCAACATGTTCTTAGATCAAGACATTTAGAACTGTGTTCACTGCATAGTCTCAATTGTTCTACAGCCTCTGTATCTACCATGTGGACAAGGATCACTGATGGATGAAGCCCACAATCCACACTGATTACTTTTGGAAAATGTGAATCTCCATAACCATTTGGAATATGGGCTTCATAACCTTTTTGGAAAACCACTGGTCAAAGGAAAGGCATAACCCTTTTTGCAAAATGCCATTCACCAGCATTTATGCAAGGCAGTTAGGTCTTTCAGCTGTTAAACTGATGTACCTAGGTATGTCTTTGAACTGCTAGGGACAAAGACATGCCAATGCATAAAAATATATATTCAGCAGAGTTTCAGATGTGTTTCTAGAAGTTGCCCAAAAAAATCTACTCCCCCTTAAAATGTATTTGCCCTTAAACTATGCTTTCAAGAGACGAGACAAACAGTCTTCTTTAAAAGTAACAGAGTTGGTTTACTCACAAAGCTTCATGTATACATCATACAGGCACTTTGCTTATGAATCCAGTTACGATAAGATTTTAAGTAGTTTCGCTATGTAGGTAACACAGGGCATCTTCCTTAGAATCAATTGTTCATAGTCCAATGGAATCTTTAAGCATATATCTTACTGAAGTCTAAACTGTACTGTTCCTGCATTAAAAGTCTAAAGCATATAAATGACATCTACTCTTAGGAATCTAATGGCTTCTACAAAATAAAATGGAGTCTTGAGTACTGAACATGCCCAGTTCCGATCATATGGCCTGCAGCCCCTTCCACAACAAAGAGGTTAGATAAAATTGCGAATCAATACACACATATAATACAGCAAGCTATTATATACATAACAAATAACTAGTGGAGGCTCAAGAAGGTTGCTATTTCCAACACTTACAGACATGATAGATGATTGATATGAGATAGTTGAAATAATTACTTTCCTCAAAGTGGTCAATTCCTTCTTTGCACCCGATGCTTTTCCTTTAAATTGAAATCATCCCACAATAAAATCTGGGATCCAACAAGTGAAAGATGCCCAGTAAAGTAAACAGAGGATGAAGATGTTTTTCTTGTATTTGGAAATTGAAAAGAAAAACCTGCTTCTAAGCATTTGTTCCAGCTTTATTGAATGGAAAGCTGAGTGCCATGCCACATCTCCAATTAGTATGAAATCGGGCACTGCGCCCCACCCTTGGCCATGACTGCAAATTCAGAGCAATGGGAACAATTGTCTGTGTTTATTTGCTTCCTTCAAACTAATCTTCAAGTTATATGACATAAATTAAACTCACCCAAGACATTTAAGTTTAACCCATCTTGGCTCATTAAATGACATGACTTGGACATGTTTTTCATGAATACAGGAGGGAAAGCCATTCATATTGTAATTAATTCGTATAAGTTTATATTTTCTTAAAGCTTGCAAGCAATGTTTCCAAATAAAATGAGTATGTTGCAATAATCTACATTATAACACAGTAGCCTGACTAAATATTAAAGGCAACAGGTCTTCTAAGCCAGTGGTTCTCAGCCTTCCTAATGCCGTAAACCCTTAATACAGTTCCTCATATTGTGGTGACCCCCAACCATAAAATTATTTTTCGTGCTACCTCATAGCTGTAATTTTGCAACTGTTATGAATCATAATGTAAATATCTGAGATGCAGGATGTATTTTCCTTCACTGGACGAAATTTGACACAAATACCCAATACGCCCAAATTTGAATACTGGTGGGGTTGGGGGGAGATCAGTTTTGTCATTTGGGAGTTGTAGTTGCTGGGATTTATAGTTCACCTACAATCAAGAGCATTCTGAACTCCACCAATGATGTAATTGAACCAAACTTGGCACACAGAACTCCCATGACCAAAAATACTGGAAGGATTTGGTGGGCATTGACCTTGATTTTTGGAGTTGTAGTTCACCTACATCCAGAGAGCACTGGACTCAAACAGTGATGGATCTGGACCAAACTTGGCACAGATACTCAATATGCCCAAATGTGAACACTGGTGGAGTTTGGGGAAAATAGACCTTGACATTTGGGAGTTGTAGTTGCTGAGATTTATAGTTCACCTGCAATCAAAGAGCATTCTGAACCCCACCAACGATAGAATTGGGCCAAACTTCCCACCCCATGACCAACAGAAAATACTGTGTTTTCTGATGGTCTTTGGCGACCCCCCCTGACACACCTTCGTGACCCCCCAGGAGTTCCAACTCCCAGGTTGAGAAATGGTGATCTAAGCAAGTCAGATCTAGTTAGTACTTTGAAGACAGTTAATGAATGCCAAGTACTGTGAGCTGTATTTCTGTGGAAGGAATTGGCAAACCATCTCTAAGTATACCTTACCTAAGAAAGCTCTATGAAATATGTGGAGTCAACACAACCGGGTGACTTGAAGGTACATACACTGTAAATTCTGTCTGAATGTACTTTGCTAGAATTCTAGTTGCTTCAGAAGAACACATGGAATTAAAAGTCCATCAAGTAAGGTATCTCAATTTTGTCTTTTCATTCTGCTCTTGCTAAAGAGGTACCCGGGTCAGCTTTCTAGTAGTAAAAATAACTTTTAAAAAAATTACAAATGTGTATATTCAAGAGACATTAAAGTCTCTTTAATTGGCTCCCTACAAATACTTTTTTTCAGTGACAAGAAAGAATTTTGGATTTTCCAGAGCATGACAATTAACTAATGGTGATGTAAAATAGCATTGTTATGCTGCCATTAATAAGAAAATGCCAAAACTGGTGCAGAACTTTAACTTCTAGTCAATATTAATCAATGTGTTGCAATTAATTTATAATTAGGTGGACAGAAGGTAAAAAATTTTACAGAAAATCAACAGCCACCAGTCATAAAAACTATGCTTGGGCTTCAGGTTTAGGGCAGTTTCAGATATTAGTCTTCTTCAACATCTGTAAAGATTTTATGGATATTTGACACACTGGCATGTCAATATCTGAAAAATTAGACATCAGTTTTTCTGATTTTTATCCTAATGTCTGCTAATCAAAAGCTCAAATCATGCATGTATTTTCAAGTGCTTCTTTCAAAACTGTAGATAATACAGTACCTAGAAACTTAGACACATTCAGAGCCTTTCAAGTTCATATGGGGAGGAGGGGCCAAGCATTTTCTCTCTACTGCGCCAAGAAAGAGTATTATAGTTTTATTCACTGGCTACACCATTTTGATTTTCTGGAAACTCACCGGGAACGGCTGATGATGAACTAGCACTGGCACTTGGACCACTATTTTGAGTGGCAATTATCTTGTTTAACCCTTTATTCCAAATCACACATAATGCTTTTCTTATTTTAAGTGTCACTACTTCCTTTCCAACTGGTGCAGACACTTCCTTACCTGTTGTTGTGATGTGCCTTCAACCACTTCCAACTTATGGCAACCCTAAGGTGATCTTATCTTGGCTTTTCTTATTCTATGGCTATTTCTTATTAATTAAAGGTATTTTTAAAACCATAAAAGCAGGTCTTGTGCCACATTTAAATTTCCCTTGAGCAAAGAAACCAGATAAAGGCAATGAAATGATGTTGTATTTAAAGCAGGGATATGAATCATGTGGCCCTCCAGATTCTGATGTACTGCAACTCCCAGCATTCCTCACCACTGCTATACTAGGAGGGACAATGCTGGAAATTAGATTTCCAACATCTGTACTGGGATGTATAATTCCCACCTTTAAAGCAAATTTGCTGCTTTTCATTTCAAACCAAAAAGACACATGCATTCATACAAGATTAGTTAAAGTGTTTAAAAAGCCAATCCCATGAGCATGGTAAAAAAGAAGTGGATGAATGGGGATTGAAAATAAGCTTCAATTAAACTGGCTGATCAAAGCAATATACTGTTGTAGATCAGCCACCAGAGGCTGATGGTTTTACTGATGATTTACAGAGGATTGTGAGCTTTCCTGTGACACAAAGTGATGGGCTCTCAAATCTGGGAGATTCCATTCTGGGAAATAATGGTTCTCTCTGTGACAAAAATGGCTTAGAAAGTACAGGGCCTCAAAGGCATTCGGGGAGTCAGAAGTAGCAACAACAGATAAAGAATCGAGAGAAGAGCTGATAAGGATTCCAATGGGAACTCACCTGTAGCTACGGAGATCAACAAAGGTCTTTGTTTACA